TAAGTTTGCTGGACCTTACCTTGTCTTAATCCCCACATTTCATAAAATGTAGCAACTGAGATGCTAATGCTTACAGAGAATTAGAAGAAGACATTGGGATGATAGGAAGAAAAATAAAAAGTAAACTGAGGAAATCTTGCTTTGCCCAAATTTATTTAACAATAATGTGAATTGCAGTCTTTCCGCATACTTGTAATCCTAAAAGAAATTATAAAACATGGATTTGGTGACTTCCGGTTTTATGTTCTTTTAAAGCAGAACCAGATAATGTTCGGGTTGTGCTTCTTCTACAGGGACTTTTAAAATAACACTGTTTTAAACGATTTTAGCTCTCCAAGAGCTGCGCAGCACCTCACAGCTACACGTTCACTGTTAAGCAGTTAGAAGATGCATAAGAAGACGAAATGTCTGAAAAGGTGGGAAGTAATATACATTAATCAATGTAAACTGGTGTACAGCAGTCTGTCCTTGGAAAAAAAAAATGTTTAGATAAGTCTGACTCCCAAAAGAAAAATTTTTCTTTGCTCTCATAAGATGATTCCGCCTGTCCATGTTTTATAGCTACATGCTGAAAATCAATCACAGTAAAGTCAAAATAGTACCACTGAAATACATTAGTAGATACGGTACTCACAGGTCCAATGACACCACCTTTAAGGTGTAAAGGGGGATTTTCCGAATGTATTATCTAAATAACTGGTCCTCCTATTCGTCAATCATTCTGGGGAAATGTTTATGTAAGGCCGTCCTCCCTGCTCGTCCCGAAGTAGGTATCTTTTTCTGTGCATGCGCACTTTTAGGCGTGTATGTGTGGTGAGCTACGGTTTCAGACAGTCATTGAAGCTCGCCTTTCTCGTTCTTTGAAAATGGCAGAGGGTCGTAAGAGAAAAAGTATCTTTGAATGGTCTGAGAAGAAGAGAAGGGCTTCAGAAGAGAGAAACAAGACCAGAGTGTTTTTGGGAGATTGTTTTACGCAATGGCGTACACTAAAAGTACAGGTGGGGCCTCCCACTAATACCTCGGTTGCAATGTTTCTTATCGACAGGTAAAGTTTGGCATGCTATTTGGAGAAATCCGTTTCACATCACTGCTAGTAAAACCAGGAGAAATGGGCTTGTGCATACTCTCGCATGCGTTTAATAGTTGTTCCCTCTCGGGAACAGGTACAGGGTTGTGCATGTGCATTTTTTTAAAGTGGAGAGGGCAGGTCTTTTTAAAAAAAAAAGTGAAAATCCTCCACTACACCTTAATTTACGTTCACAATTCATATTTTCATTTTCTCTTCTTTTCCTCTTCTCAGAGATGTTTTCTTTGCAGTTTTTGCTGGCTTTATACTGGGCTGCCCTAAAGCTGCCTATTGTACCATGAGAACAAGAACAGAGCAAAGGGTCAGAGGCACAAAAAGTTGGAATTTTTGGTTTTCATTACATGCAGTAAGGGAGCTTCTTGCAGGTGCAGTTTGGGAGTCCACTAAAGAAAGCTGAGGTTTAAAGTCATGCAGATTGAGGTAATACTGATAATTATTAAAAAATAAATAAATAACATTAATTAAAAATAATATTTATAATGCACATAGTAGCCTGTCATAAAATGAAAGGACAAAAAGTAAAAAAACGTGCACAGTTTATTTTGGAATCTCATAGCAGACCACTTGGACGGGCAGATTGAGACTTCATGTAGTTACTTGTAAAGACAAGATCATATTTGCCCCTAGATTAAATCCTACATTAGACAAACTGAAAATATATCTGATTTGGTGTTATATGGTGTAGGGCTACAGTGGTGTTGGATGTAGGAGTTTGCCCTGATATCGAAGGATTGACGGTTCAAGCCCCGGCTCTGACTTTCAATGTCGTTGTGTCCTTGGGGAAGACACTTCACCTGCATTGTCTACTGATATTGGTCAGAGGGATCGGTGGCGCAGTGTACCGCAGCCCCGCTTTTGTCAGTGACCCCCAGGGCAGCTATGGCTACAATGTAGCTTGCCACCATCAGTGTGTGAGTGTGTGTGTGAATGGGTGAATGAATGTAGTGTAAAGCGCTTTGGTCAAGTCTCCTGACTTGAAAAAGGGCGCTATATAAGTACATGCCATTTACCATATTTCTTTTACTGCCTAACAGCAACTTTCTAGGATTAGCTTTTTTAAAGGAAGCTGACCACCACTTGACCCAGTCAGTTTTTGAGAAGAGCAGAGCATCAATACATGCCCAGTGCTGTAATATTGACCTGAAAAGTAATTTATTATACATAAAATTAAGCTAACACTTAAGTCAGTAGTAATACAGAGTGTAATACAGACTTTGTTTTAGTTGTTAATTTTTAATAAGCAGAGGAAAGTCCCTCTGTTTATTTTAAACAGTTTAAAAACTGTTTAAAATAAAAGTACATTTAAAAAAGAAAATAAATATAACATAACATAACACAGATATAAAAGATGTTAACATCTAATCGAATCAGTCAATTTTTTTTACTGGTGATCTGCCTCAGAGCCTGCTGTTTTTGATTGTGACCCTACCCTTTATAATCAGCAAACGGTCATATCTGAGTAATTTTAAATAACATACAAATTCCTGCCGATATTAAATCCAATGACAAATACCTGATAAAACTGATATTATTTACATTATATTATGTTTAAGTATTCATAGTATTGAAAATTACTCTACATACTTTAAATTAAGTTTAAGTAGCAGTGGTATATTTTTTTTAACTGTTTGTTCTGGCTCTCTTTGCATTTAACAGCAGTCTAGCCCATCTAATAATGTTCTCACAAACAGCTAAGAAAGATCGTCCAGTGTTAACATTTAGAGAAGTTGTTAGCTCTTACCTTCATACCAGCATTAGTTAAAAATATCCACTATCACATGTATCACATCGATCACACTCAGTTAGAATTGGACACCACATTTCATCTCCTCTGTTTTTCTTTTCCTGCTTAAAACTAAGTGTAAGTAAAATAGTTGTGTGTTGTGAAGCAAACATTTATGTTGCTGGAGAAAAACTACATCTTTGAAATGAATGTGAATATCTTTGTATCATAATAGATTCAAAACTCACTTTTAAACCTGATTTAAAATGTTTGTAATTAAGTTAAATAGTGTATGTCTTTTTTAATGTTTATAAGATCAAAGTTATCACTAAAGGCTTCCAAACTGTTTATGGACGAATGTGTTTTATCACACATAACCTATTGTCCTACAACTTGGTCACAATCAAATCAAACCACAATGAAATCCATAGAGTCATTATAGAAACAGAAATTCTAAATATGGGGGAAAACCATTAATTAAATCATCATCATCATCATTAGACAAACACAGGTTCTGGTTTGGAAGCAGGTCATTAAATTCTCAAATCTTTATGGTGTGTAAAAAAAAATGCTAAAGGTGGTGATATCCACCACTCATTTATATAAGGAATACCAAGGAGTAACAAGAGGGGCAATCCGTGAAGATTCTATTGTTTCTTCCAGAAAAACTTCATTTTCGGATACAGCTGCCGGGAGTAGAACTCTATTCTCCAGGCAGACAATCAGAACATTTGCCACCTATAATCAATTTAAAAACAAAGATAGAACTTATATAGTTTTAAATACTTCTTACACCTTTTCTGGAAACTGCATTAAACTTAAATTAATTGTCAATATGTGTGTAGTTCATATTAATTTTAACTTTTATTATATAAATTTTATTAGTTTTTAAAGACAATTTACTTTTTTCCAGGGACAAATGACAAAAAACATAATTTTTGCTCATTCTGGGACACTAACTGATCTATGTTAATTAATGTGTATCCTACCACATAAATACATTTTAAATCCCGCTTATTTAAAGAGACATTAGGGAGAATTTCCATTGGTGTCTCAGGATGTCGCTTCTGAGTAGCCACAAAAACCATCTTGAATATAACGCTCTTATTGTTTGCTAGATTGGACTGATTTAACATGGACGTGCTTGACGTCACATCCGCCGAACAGTGTGGCAACCTCTGACCGGGAGTAAATTCAGGAAAATATGCTACAGAACAGACTTTCAGCACTGATGCTCATAGATGCATCAGTGCTGAAAGTCTGTTCTTCACCAAACAATGATTTAGTTGTAAAGGGTCAAATGAAAGGGCTATTTTAAAGATATTTTTCAGTAAAGCCTTACATAATGTCTCTTAAACAGTCTTAAATTTGTAACTCCTAGCCACTATGATTTATAAACATAAATAGTAGACAAAATATTATTTAGAATATTTATTGTCACATAAACCAAATAAAGTCCACCTTCTAACTTCTAAGAGCAGTAATCAAAAGTGCTCTTAGCAAAAATAATGCTGCTTGAGCTTTAGATTACATTCCATAGAAACCTTTAAATAAAAAATCATTAGCCTGTCATGAACACAATAAAGAATATATAAAGAAAATGAGCATAATTTCTCTCTCAACTCTAAAACATTTACTTACCTTCAGTTGCTTGCGTGGGTTTAACTTGCATCTGTCTATGAAGAGACGTTTATACTACATTATAACCAAAGGAACCACTTGAGTTATAAGTACACGAGGGGTTTTTCGAAGCATCTCTAGAGGGTATCTATGTTGGGATTGAGAGGCAACCCAAAAAACGGATCACTGCCTTTGCTACTGGAGCTTTTTCTATTCCGTTATTTTATTTTGTTTAGTATTTTACTCTGTAACATGTGATTTTAAATGTAAGTGAGGGAAATACTTTAGTTCAGCATCAGTGATCTCACTAAAAAAGTAAAAGTAAGATAGATTTGAGTTGTTCTGTTTGACTCATAAAATTAAAGAATAATAGAAATATATCGTACCATGACAGACTCTATCTGCCATATCGATCTATCTATATCTATATAAAAGTGTGTGTAACAGGTTAAAACCATACACAGCTCAGCTCTTTTCAAGCATATGCTCTCAAAATAGAAATACCATTAACACAAGCATTCTCCTAAAAAGCATGAGTGGCATCAGTACGCAGTCTAAAAGTGAACTCACCTATAAATTTTATATCTGGTTGTAAATCCTTGGCGGAATCTTTCCACAAAGGACAGATAGCTCCGAGAGTGGTGGAAAGGTCCACGGTCAGAGATGAGCCAGTCATATTGCTTGGTGACATGTTGTTCAGCAGCCAATAGGTCCTGGCGAGTAGACTGAACTGTTATATGGTCCCATATAAACAGGAAGCAGATGACCTCAATAAACCTCCAGTTCATGCTTTTTTTTAAGCCGCTCTCTGTTCATTCTCGCTCCATTATGTGGAGACCTGATGGGATAGAAAAGAAGGAGGGGAGAGAGGGGATGGGGAAGGGATGTGCAAAAAAGAGATCTGTTATATGACAGTCTATATCAGCAGTACAAGAAAGTCAAAGAGTTAGGTTAATTGTATTCTGTTGCACAAATAAGAGTGCCCTTGTCATTGTCGCTTCACTCTGATATAAAGTGTGCTTATTTTCTGGTGTTCTCATGTTTTTCAACCATTATTCCTGTCTGCAGCATTGAAATGGCATACAACGCAGTACACAATGGGTGTTACTATTTTGCAGATCAGTAAGTGGTTCACCCTAAGCTATCTGGCTGTCTGTTTGTAATTGGTGTCATGATAAGCACTGACAAGGTTAGAAGACGGCTTTATGATATGTTATGACACTCTACAACCACTAATGTGGAAAAAGCCTATCTCCCTTTGCTCAGTGGTGTCAATTACTGCTGGAGGAATCTTTCATCTTTTGACATTGTTGAACCTTTCCATGCTTTCGCTGGCCAACTAGCATGTAACCCAGAAACTATATTAGTATTAGTATTATGACTATGTGTTCAGTAGGAAAAAAAAACATCTGAACAAAAGTATAAAAATACATAATAGAAAAACATTTCTACAACTAATATATCACAGATAAAAGATTTTCATCAGGGAGATCATTCTAGGACTAAGGCCTCTGGGCTTAGAAAAGCACTGAATGTTATCAAGTACTGCTGGTTGCATAAGATGCTTCATTTTTCATGGCTTATTAGACAATAACACAGCATAAAAGAGCAAGAAAAATTTGATGAGGGTAATATTTCTGTTAAGTACATGATGAATTGTTGGCATACTGATACAAAAGATCCTCTTTTGTTGCTTTATAGATAAGAAGAAAAGTGTGTAATTTGCACAAGATTGTATAAATGCATTTAAGATTTTAATGTGTAAGACACATTTACGTAACAATATGTCATGGTACCTGGAGTATGCAGCATTAGCTTAAACCTCAACAGGTTTAACTTTCAATTATGATTATTTATATCGGTTATAACAATAAACAACTTGATACCTTAAGTAATTAGCTTTTTATTAATTATAAAATATATTTATATAGAATCAATAACATTAACACTGTATGTGTTGTTTATGTTTAGAAAAAAATACTTAAAATGTATATATCTATATCTATCTATCTATCTATCTATCTATCTATCTATCTATCTATCTATCTATCTATCTATCTATCTATCTATCTATCTATATGTGTCCTTACACGGGATGTACCACCGAAACATAACCGAAGTTGCGGATATCAGAAAATCCTACTAATGGCTAGACAAAGTCGGACTGAAGGACAGCACAGAGGCACTCCTCATGGCTGCACAGGAGCAGGCCCTGAGTACCACAATAATAGATGCCCAAATCTACCACACCAGACAAGACCCTACTGTAGGTAAAGGCTGTGCAAAGTGGCCCCTGGGTGTAAGATGCTGCCAGGGAAAATTTACATGGAGCACCATAACCAAGTGGCTGGAATAGTGTACGGAACATCTGTGCAGAGTATGGGCTGGAAACCCCAAGATAAAAGTGGGAAACAACTCCAAAGATGGTAGAGAATGACCGAGCAAAATCCTGTGTGATTTCCCGATCAAACGATCGAATTGTAATGTTAAACCAACCGGACATTGTGGTGATGGACAAAGAGTGGCGGAAAGTCGTTGTGGTTGACATAGCAATACCAAGTGACTGCAACATCAGAAAAAGGAACATGAGGAACTAGAGAAGTACGGCATCAGTGGTACCTGTATTCATTGGGGCACTCAGGGAAGTGACCCCCCAAACTTGAGGAGTGGTTACAGCAGATCCCTGGAAATACATCAGAAATCTCGGTTCAGAAATGTGCAGTTCTAGGAGCAGCAAAGATACTGCGCAGAACCCCCAGGCCTCTGGTAGAGGACCAGAGTTTAGATGAAAAACGGTATGCTTGCCACCGCCCGTGGTGGGTGAGGAAGTGTGGGGTTTTATATATATATATATATATTTAAATATAAATACCTTTGTATGTTGGTTTTTTTTTCATGCAGACCGTTCTCAATGTACTGTCACCCTAATGCAACCTAATACTAGAGTTGGGTTTGTAAAACACAGCCATCTGGCAGAACCTATTAAGACAAAAAAATCAAAAAGGACAAGCACTATGAAATAGATTGTTGGCAGGTGAGTGGATGAATACTTATATTATCACCACTAATTAGCTGTTAACAGTTCAATTCCAGTCAGTCCGGTCAATAGAGTGGAGTCCGTTTGTAACCTCATTGTGACGGCTCTCATGGGTAATTAATTGTTGGCGCTGCTGCAGGAACAGATCCTTTGGCTGAAGTTCAGCAGGCAAACTGATTGGGAACACTTGAGTTGGACTATAACCCCTTTTTAAAGATCTGGGGTCTGTTTAGCACGGGTAATGGGCTTCTCTTTTCACACTATTTGTCACATCTCTTTTTGTTTGGTTTGGTCTACATGGTTAAATGTACCTTAATATTCAATATTAGTATAAAATAAAATTATAACAGTGACTTCATTCACTGGCCTTTTACTAGTTTTATTTTGATATCTTCCATTTTTATTTTAATTTTTTTTGTCATACACCTCTAAGCCAGGTTGTGACAGCACAGTCTTGCAAAAAGCACTTAAAAAAGATGTACTAACCAACCTGTTCCACAAAGCATAACTTTGGACTTCATACTACGTACAAAAAAAATGCTGTCCATATTAGTGGTGCTTTTTGATGATTAGTGGTGCTTTGGCATCTACATGAATCTTTTAAAACCCATTTTAAGACACAAATAGAAGTTAGTGTATGATAGGAAATACAAAAAAAAGAAACTTTAACTTGCCCCTCACACAAATGAAAATGCTCTAAGTAGAAGCAATAAATAAACAAATTACATAACGTAAACATTTAATACATTACTGCTGTGATAACTAATAAACAAGCAGAAACAAGCGCCGAACCTGAAAGGAACAAACCAGGGGCGTTATTAACAATACATGAACAAAATTCACAAAAAATAAAGTCAGAATAAATAAGGCCTAAAGACAGTGACAAATTGAAGGATTTAATGGGTCTCATCATTTTGTTTTCCAGCACTTTTGTGCTTTTGCACTGTAAGTTATTTTCTATCCAACTTTTTCAAATACAATAGAGTAATTATCTATTGCAAATACAGTACTGAGTGAGGCTCTTGGCTGTTTTGACAATGGATTACCTAAACAGTTTTCTCTGATCCACAAGCAAACATTTAGGAAATATCTCTACTTAATACATTAATATCTAATCACAGGCGTGACTTGGTTTGATCAGGATTCCATTTTTCTGATACAGAATTTCAGATAAATTCTGACTCCTGATCAAACCAAATCATGTAGCCCATAAAGGGATGGGAATCAAATCCTTGAGGAACGATGTCCTGAGATGTGTCTCTGACTGACGCTAGGATGATAGTTTAGCTATTTAATTCAGGTGTATAGGGAAGGGACATATTTGAAAGAACCAGGACACAAACCCTGCAAAAAAGAGCCAATGATAATTCATAAGGCTGTCTATAATGGCCAATCTAGCATAAACCAGATTGATACAGTATAATTTGAATTCTGCACAATATCCACCTGAAAGGCTCCTGTGGGAAGGGCTTATAAAAAGGTGGGACATTCAGTACAATTCTTCGAGCTGATTGGGTAAATCACAACGTAAGCACCTGCCTCCCATGTCGAGCTTTTAGACAATTGCAGCAGTCGTAGTACATTCTTGATTTGTTTTAATAAGTAGAAAAGTTAAATGATATTCCATTCACATAAGCATAAATTGTGTCTGCTTGATTTTTTTGCAAAAAAGAAGTACATGTAGAGGGTATTCTAGCTAAAAGCAAAAGCTAAAAGTCTACTTGTACATCCTCCAGCGCAGCCATGTTTGTTCTGCTTCATCCTGATGTTTCTGGCTGGCGGCATACACATCACAACATTTCATTGGATCGAAACATATCTGTATTGAAGGTTAAAGTGGTCATAGAATGATTCTATAGGGTATTTGGTGCTGGTCCTTAAGGTCTCTGAATAGGGTGTGTAACATTAGTTGGGCTGAAAATGGTATATTTGCTTTTCTATGAGCCCTAATGCAAGCCTGGTTAAGAGCCCCAGAATGAAAGGACAGGTTATCTTCCTTTGGTATGCTCATGAATATTTAGATGAGCTGTGCACTAATTGGTTGGTTTATAACGAGCGAAGCTGCTGAGCAAAGACGCATCATAGCAACAAGCACTCAATCACTGAAACATGAAATTGTTCATATGGTAGGGTCACCAGACGTCCTCTTTTACCCAGACATGTCCTAGTTTTCATACCTAAAAGAATGTCCGGGGGGGGATTTCAAAATCTTCCGGGATTTTGGTCGACTACAGTGCAGTACGTAGTCGAAACAGGGAGCCAGCGGGGGACGGCGCGACCAAACCTGAACCGGAGACGGTAGCCTAGACAACGGCGACCGCGTGATTCCCCCTGCCTGCCTGGTCTGGCAGGCAGGGGGATAGCATACCGTCACCTCACAATAATGTATAAGGCTAGAGGTTAACAGCTACCAGACAGCATACCAAAATGTTTTGTTATAATAGAGGGATGGTAGGAGTGCCCCTAGGGAATTTGGACCCCATGAAAATAAATGATATTGGTTTCTCCCATGGCCATAGTTTTTTATTATAAAACCATATATATATATATATTTTTTTTTTTTTTCTTATCTTTCCTATACACATGAAAAGCAAAAAATAACATGACAGTTACTTGGTAGAGGAACCAAAAAAAAAAGTACAATTAAATCCATTTAGCTTCAGTTATTTGCTTCAATACTGCTTCATTTATATTCCAAAACCCCTCACTTTCTTTAAAAACTTGAACATTTCTATTTATGAAGATTAATAACCTGTTAGTACAAAATTTAAAACTTCAAAAAGTACTTTATTGCTTTAATA